TGTGTGTGTGTGTGCGCGCGCGCGCGCGTGCGTGTGTGTTTTGAATGTTAGAGTCAAGCAGGAAAATAAAGGCAAAATCTGATCCAAAGTGGAACCTCAATTCCATTTTACCCAAGGTCTTATTAATTACCAAGTGTTTTATTTCAATTCACTAAGTTTAGAGTGGCTCAAAACTGAATTAAGAGTTAAGTGTTGGACATTTCATTAAGCTATAGCTTGATTCACTATTCCATTTCTGACTGCCACAGTCTAATTTCTTAACTCAGTTGTGAGACTTTGAAAACAAAACCCAGTTCTCTTCCTGTATATCAAAGACAAATTTAAAAACTCAAAACACTTTTTGTTTAAATAAACTGCTCTTGTTTTTAATTTTAGTTTTTATGAAACATTGCACTAAGTCAAACTAGGCCTTTGAATAAGTGGATAAAGAGACCCAAGAGAAGTCCAAAACTGGTACTTACTTTCCCTCTCTAAAAGGCACTTGCATTTACTTGACTACATTTGATGAATCTCATGCCTTCTGTGGTTGCATGGTAAGGTTTTCATCAGAGAAGCAAACAAACAATTAAAAAAAAAAAAAGACTGGTAATTCACTGCAGTCCAGTTAAAGGACTTTCACTCAGCCTGTCAAATGAGAAAAAAAGAAGTTTGGGTTTTGACGCCTTCCCACCCAATTCAAAACTTTATTACTTTTTTGCTTTTTTTAATGATCTTAACTTCTATTGAGGCTTTTGGTAAACTCACAGTGTAGAAAGAATACAGAATTTCAGCATAGCCCAAGTTAGAGGGCTTTTTCTTGCCCTAATTGTGTAGCCTCCTCTGTACCACACTGGGGTGTTAGTAGCCCCAGAATTAACCTTTGCCTTGTCACCACTGTCTTTTCTTAAATTCCCTGTACCATGCTTCTCCTTGAGATTGTTGTCTTCTTCCCTCCTGGGGCACTTTCTGGGAAAAGCTTCTTTAAGACTTATGCCTTTTATGAATTGAAGACAAATAAAGGTGCTTTTAAATCTATTGGACGTGCAGAATTTTCTACTTGATCTTCAGGACACTCGAGGTTGATTTGACTTAGTTCTGATTTTTGAAAGTAACCTTCTTGGGGCTAAATTTTGGACCGTCCTGTCAATCTTTACGCTTTATACCATTTTCTCTCTCCACCTCAACCTTTTGTTTTCCCCCTCCAGAGGAATTTGCTTCTATTTATCCGTGTCATCTACCTAATCAGAGCAAATAGAAACAGCTTTTATACTGTTCACATTCTTATAAAATACAAGAAGTTCTAACTCAGTCTAGATTTTTGTTGATGCTTATTCCTCCTTCTTTGCTGAAGATAAATATTCAGGATGCTAAATTTATTTGTAGAAAAAACTCACTCTCCCTAGAGAACTCAGAATGGGTTGCTTCATGGATTCCTTTTTCCAGTTGTCATGTCCAACACTTCCCTGAGCCCAGCACCCTCTGCCCCTCTTCCCCTTTAGGATACCCTTCTGGCTACATCTGGTTGTCGGTAGGTGAGAGTTCTTTCTGTATTCCTTTCATCTTCCCTTTCTTTTAACCTCTGCAGTTTTCCTGATCCAAATGAACGGGTAATATTCTTCAAATTGCTATTAACCCTGGGTCTTTGGGTCTCCTGAGGACAGTATTTTATGACAGTTAAATGGTTTGGATTGACTGACTGGAGAGTCCCAACAATAGGTCTGTGTTAAAGTCAAGTGCTGCCTTCCTTCTGTCCATTTTGCTGTGGAAACCAGATCCTAACCTGTTGAGGGATCAGCACTCTCCTCTTTCCCTCCTTGCCTGGCTGCCCTTTTCCCCACTCCAGTAGTACTATGTGAGTTTGTTAGAGAATCCCCAGGCCCACTATCCTGAGAGTGAGCCAGCCGGCTTTCCACAGCCTGCTCTTCCCAACCCCACTTCAAGTGTTTTGCATATGGCATTTAGGAGGATTATTAAACAAAAATGAAATAGATTAAGAAATGAACATAAAAGAATCAATTCTCTTGAACTGTGGTTGCATAATGGAAATCGACTACCATGAATGAACCCGTGTACTGAAGTTATGAACAGGAGAGCTAATGCACTGCCATGAGTTCATCTTTATTATTGCATTACACCTGAATCAATTGATAAAGTAGCTTTTTTTTTTCTAAGCGAGGGATGGCACTTAATTGAATAAAAGTCAATGTAATTATATTAGCAGAGGCCAACAGTACTGCTGACAGCGGAAAAGGGACACTGTTGAGCAGAGTGCCAGAGCTTGTCCACACATTTCTGCACATCGTTTGGTTGACAGATATTGAGGGCTGGTACATCATCTAATTAGATTACAGATTTCTACTGCTATAAGTGAGAAATGAAGAGAAAATCTCTTCCTGGTAACATAGCGGTGGAGATGTGTAATTTCACAAGTCATCTTAGGAAAGAGGTGTCCATCTGGGTGATCAGTGTGTCCTTTGTCAATGTTATTCTTCCTCATTCAGTGTGTCTCAATGTGACTGCTGTGTGTCTGGCTGCTGTTTTCTCAGCAGTGAACCTAGGAAGTGGTAACTGCAGATGTGTGAGAAACAACACAGAGTTCTAGATTACAGTCATCACAAAATGTGTGTTTGTGAAATTAAGAAAGGAAGAGGGTGTTAACAGTAATAAATGGGGGGGAGGTAGGAATACATGAGCTGTTTATAGTTGGCAGATTGCAGGATCAGTAGAATAATAGTACACAGTGTAACTCTGGTCCCACATTCTTGTTATAACCCTGGTGGTGCCCTACCCACATGTCATAGTAAAGACTTCACAGTAGGCATTTCCTGCACTCTGCTTAGCATCTGCACTTGGAGTCATCTGCCATCTGACACCAAGGAAACAGGGAGGACTGTGTCAGAGCTGGGACCGTGGGGACAACTTCTGTTTATCATTCACATACCCACACTGCATGCATCTGTTCGGAACTCATTTATGGATGATGATGATGATGATGCTGTGAATTTGGTTTATCTTAATTTGATTTATGATTTTTGGATTATGCAGCTGATCTGAAAATCATCAAGACAGCGTATGAGATGATCGCTTATGACAGAAAATAATGTTGTGATCAGAACATTTTAAATCCCTATTTTATTGTTTAAGTTTTTTTTTAAACCAGATGTCTAGAATGTGAATTTGTTTTCTCTCTCTCTCTTTCTCCCTCTTTCTCTCTCTCTCTCTGTCTCTCATTCTTGCTTTCTTTTGTGATCGATTTAGCAAAAGATTAGAAAGCTGATCTTATTATCACAAGGTAAGCTCAGCCTTCCCAAGTGCAGTGTGGAGAGGGCTGCTGCCCCTCTACCCTTAAATCCAAGTGCTATATATTGTCTTGTGTGGAAGGGTGGAGAAGGGCTGTCCCACCTTTCTTGTCTCTGTGGCACATACCTCTCAACCATCTCAGAAATGTCAGCCATGCCTGTCACCAAATGGAGTGACTTCTTTTGATCATCCATACTTTTTAATTATAACCAGAAGGTCTTTTGAACTGTATGCTGGCCATTTAGGCCATTTCTATTTTCATGATGACTTCTCCATGAAGTAGAGCTTCCACCAGCATTGAGAAGCCTATTTGCCTGTTTATCAGTTTATTTTTGGAAGGGTAGTGTTCAATTTAGGTACTTGTCAAACATCTGAGCCTTTGCAGGTGGAGAGAGGTATATGCCCAAGGGCACTTTAAAAATAAATGGGGGATGTAAATACAAAGGCATTGTTTTCAGAGAGATAATAACATATCAGACTTTGTAAATCATGATGTCCCTCTGGATGCTTTGGGACAAATATTATCTCTTTTTACACAAGCAAAGTACTCAGTGAATGGAGTAAAAGTTTTGCTTGTCTAAATAGCGTGGGATCTAGTTGTTGAAATAGAGGGATTTTATGTTCTTGTTGTGCTTGATAATTTTTTTGTACTTATTGTGTTTTAATTTTGTCCTTTTGGGTTTTTTTTTTTCTCTTGTTTAGTGTGATTTCTTTTAAAGGGTGGGTGGGTTGTATTTTAAAAAATAGTTCAATTAAAAAGTTTAAAGTAGAATTATTTGATAAAAACATTCAGCACTAAAAGTAGCAGTTTCCAAGCTCATTCTGTCTTTACATTTAACCGGGATCCCTAATCATTCGAGAAAAGGGATTTATGTTATTAAAGACAGTCTTTAGTATACTTCAAATTACTAATCTATTGGGCCATATTTTTTTTTTTATTTAAAATTTGAATGGCTGGGCATTTTGGCACAAGCCTGTAATCCAGCTACTCAGGAGGCCGAGGCAGGAGGGTTGCAAATTTGATGTCAGCTTGAGCAACCTTTGCAAGACCCTGTCTCACAATAAAACTGTTAAAAGGGCTGGGGGATGTAGCTCAGTGGTGGAGCACTTTCTTAGAATGCCCAAGACACTGACTCAATTCCCAGTGGCGGGGGGCAGGATTCCATTATTTTTTGAAGTTAAACCTAAATTATCTAGACCATTTTACTCTAAGAAATGTGCTTTTTAATATTTCTAAATGGATAGAGTTTTCTGTATTAAGAAAGAGCAGGGGGCTTTTTGTTTTGTTTTGTTTTTTTAGGTAAATTTAAACTTTTCCACTTAGACAAGCACAAAGTTTCCATTCTTTAATCCTACTTAAATGTATATTTCCTAAAAGTTCTGCAGTGAGGTCCTCTGCAGCTGATGCTGCCACATATTAACAGTATCAGAACAATCATTAGAAAAGGGTGCATGGGTTTGCATCCATCCTACCATTTAAGAATTTTACTCTCTCATGAAAATTACGTTAATGGAAAGTTACCCTTATTGCACCTCCCACCACCGCCACTTACTCCCAATCCTGAGGATGTAGGGAAATGCTTGCTTTTATAATGGTGTAATTAGGAATGAATGTGCTTATTTGATGCCTTGTGAAAGCTGAATTTATTTTAAAGTGCTCTCCCTTTTCTCACCCTCCCCGCTCCCTGTATACCTACCCCCCTTCCCTCTTGTTTTCCTAGACACAGTGCCAACATAAATCTGCATCGTAAACTGTTGACCAAAGAACTCGATGACATGGGCCTGGACTCGTCGCAGCCTTCCCTTAGCAAGGACCTCCGGGATGAATTTTTAGTGAAGATCTATGGTGCCCAGCACCCCTTGGGGCTCGATGTCAGGGAAGATGCCTCCTCTCCCGCTGGGACTGAAGACTCCCACCTTAACGGGTATGGGAGAAGCATGGCCGAGGACTACATGGTCCTTGATCTGAGCACCACCTCCAGCCTCCAGTCCAGCAGCAGCATCCATTCCTCCAGAGAATCCGATGCAGGCAGCGATGAGGGGATTCTTCTCGACGACATTGATGGGGCGAGTGACAGTGGGGAGTCTGCACACAAGGCTGAGGCCCCCACCCTCCCTGGGAGTCTAGGGGCTGAAGTTTCAGGATCTCTTATGTTCAGCAGCTTGTCTGGGAGCAATGGTGGGATCATGTGCAACATTTGCCACAAAATGTACAGCAACAAGGGGACACTGAGGGTGCACTACAAAACTGTGCATTTGCGAGAGATGCACAAGTGCAAAGTCCCTGGTTGCAATATGATGTTTTCCTCTGTGCGAAGCCGAAACCGGCACAGTCAGAACCCTAATCTCCACAAAAACATTCCCTTCACTTCAATAGATTAGTCCCAGAACGGACACTACAAATGCCAGCTCTCACCAGATGGCCTACATCTTTGAACTGCCATAGTCAGTGTGCGCTTACCTACGTGGCGGGGGTGTATATGTGTGTGCACATGTGTATGCCTCTGTGTCTACATACACACACATACGCACATTTTCTTTTCTTTAGATAAAAAGATAAACACTAGGTGCTTTTGAATTTTTTTCTTTTTCCTTTATAGTTTTGGGAAAGGGATGCGATCTTTAATTCGGGGGTGAAAACAGAGTGCCCCTTTAAACACATACACACACACACACACAGAGCGTGCAACTAGCCCCAATTTTGATAGAATAATTTTTGGTCTTCTCCAAAGAGACAATTTGTTGTACCCATGACTGTTGCCTGCAAAAAAATAAAAGGGAAAAAAGAAAAAAGAAACAAAAAGGAACTTCTTATAGTTGTCTTTTGTGAACTTTAAGGTTTTGAGAGAATCTTCAATTAAAGCATGGCAGATTCACCTGTAAATATTTAGCCTTGAGAGGCCAATAATGTAAAACAATTGTATTGATGGTCGTTTAACTCTTTTGTTTAATTTTTACAGTTACATCCAGCTGTTAGATATGCAGGAGAAAAATAGTTTGCTGGCTAGCTCTATTCATTTATGTTAGCATTAATGCACATTTTTTTTTAAAAAAAAAACATGGTCTTGTTTTTACTACCTGTTAGATATAGTGATAAAGAGGTGCTGGCATGCTTTACAGCACAGATCTGATTTTTTAAAATGTCCTGTACTAGTACGTAAATCCAGTCATGCACTTTTTATCATACACTACAAGGGGATGTGTAATATCCAGGCTTCTTTTTTTTTTTTTTAAACTTTAAACTATTGCCATACTTCAGTAAGTGTCTTTTTTAAAAAATCCACTTGTATAAAAATGGTCTGGTCAGTATAGGGCACAAATGCCAAACAAAAGTATTAGTGTTAACACAAAACTGCCAACTTTGCACGAGTTTCCAGAAAAGAAAATACAATTAGTCACTCAACATAACCACAGGCCAATTTGTCGGCCACCAGAAAACCGCTTTGAAAAAAAACACTTGGTGATTCTTTCAAGTGCTGAATGTTATTAGAATCAACATTGCATCCTTCTTGCTTATATGTTAAATTACATAAAAGGAAAACAAAATTATGTGGTGTGAATCAGCCAAGGCATTTTTTCTTTAGAGGCAGGATAATATTTCAGGATACAAAAGCCCAAATTACTCACTATGGAACAAAGCTGAATGCAGTAACAGAGTTGAACACTCCTTTCCAAGGCCCTAACCCTTATCCTTTGAAAAGAAAGTCAGTCTAAACTGGATTGGTCTGTTGTATGGCCATCTCATTTGTGGCAAATTCTGCAGTAGTGCTACGATTCAGGCCTGTTTGATAGACAAAATCAAAGGCTGTTTAACAGCAGCAGTACTTGGAAGCTCTGAGAACACATGCTAAACTTGAATTGAGCAACACTCCTTCCGAAAGGCAGAGGAAGGGGGGTTGAGATAGGATCTCACTGTGTAGTGTTTTGTTTCCCCACACAAATTTGTCAGAGAAAATGAAAGCAAGCCTGAAACCAAGCAATAGAGAGTGGGGGTGGGGGGGAGGGGGGCTGCTCCAAACTTTTGTTTTGTTTTGTTTTGTTTTGTTCTGTTTCCGATGTTTACACATGTTGCCTGAGCTGGTTAACCACATCGGCAGCCTGAGCTACCACAACATACTGACTAAATGATGATATTTACTCAAGTTCAGTCTGCAGCCAAAATTATTAAGAGTATGGACTGCAGACTGTTGTCTTTCTTTCTTTCTTTCTTTCTTTTAAATGGGGAGGGGGTGACATTAAACAAGGAATAGTTTGTCAAACAATACACAATATAAAGAGAATGTATTTCTTATTTTGCATTTAATGGCCTCAAACATTTCTCCCATCTGTCTAAAAGTTATAAATACCCCTTCATTTCAATGTTTCATGTCATTTCCATTTTTCCTATGTTCTGTAATTATTTTTTTTCTGTGTTCACATCAGCATTCACTTCCGTTAAATTTGCCAAAGGAAACTGTTAATATGTTTCTGTTATTTTTATTCCTGTAGGATTTATTGTACCTCACAGTATTTATTGTTTCCAAAAATAAGCACCATTCGTTGGGGATTCAGTATTTTTATTTGCGAAAAATTCAGAAACAATAGATTCTTAAAGATAAGCTAGATATATCTAGGAGCTTTATCTTTTTGCCTCCTTCTGAGGATGCTGGGGAGGATGCTATGGGGTTCGTTTGATTCTTCATTTGTTCTACAGTGAGGAAAGACCAAAAGTATTTGCAGTACAAAAGAAACTATATCAAACACTATGTCTGTTAAATGACAAATGTTTACGGTAAAAAGCTGAGGAATTAGTAATAACCGTTTTTGTTTTCTTGTACCTTTGAATTCCCCCAAAGTCTTAATTGCTTTATTTTGGTGTTGTGTTAAATTGAATAGACAGAGATGTTTTCCTTTGTTTTATACCTTATAAGACTCTGTACAGTATGTTTGTTAAAGATTGAAGCAGAATAATGAACGTTTGTTTGCAAACATTTTGGTCCTCTTAGCATTCTGTGTATTGCGTTGTTGCCCCATTACCGAATGACTAGATTCAACATGGGTGGAAAATATTTTTAGAATCCCAACAAAAGATTATGGCAACTCTGGCTTTTGGAGTGCATAGACGAAATTACACCTATTTTAATGGAAATTAATACACCTTTGAATTTCAGCAACTTTTAAAAAAAGTTACACTCTTTGTTGAGATATCAGAACTCATCTGTACAAAGTCAGCCTTTAGTCTGTTTAGTTTAATGTCAAGTAAAAAGTCAGGTAGCCCTAATGAGTGAATTGCATAGCTGTCTGGAGGTCATGTCACCAAATGGACCAGGCTGAGAACAACTTTATGTTGCTTCCCACAAACCAGGTGAATGGCTATAGCCAGTTCGGAAAAAAGTAATGTGATTCTAGAAGCAAAATTTCCCTTATTGACATGAATGTGTTCACCTTTTTTTTTCTTTGTCAGAGAAATGGCAGTAAGTCCTGGGGCAGCTGGCACTTTTTAAGTATCTCCCCTATTTGCTGCTACTATTGTGCCTCCAGTGCCCAATTGTTATGGCGGCCTTCAAAACAAGTAAATAGCATTTTCCAATATAAAGCTTGTTTGCTTATAAAGGACAAGGGGAGTGGATGGATGTTGTGCATAAAATTGTAAAATCTAAAGTGTACAATTACTGTAGTCCCACGTGTGGCTTGTTCCTGGGTATGCCTGGGTGCAGGGTTGTGACTGAATTGCAATTCTACTTAAGGTGGTAGTCCCGAGGCTTATGTGCAAATGGGAAGGATAAAGAGATCAGCGTTTAAATCATTGAGCTCTTCCTCTTTGCCCATTCCTACCACTTTTTTTCATGGGAGTTTCTTGTTAAACAGTTTCTCTCTTGCTACATCCATTTTATGCTGGCTGAAAATTAATAGAAATATACATTTTCATCCAAGCAGCTTTTGGTTGATGTTAGCCAGAGTTTTGTCACAGGTACAAAATTAAGGCAGTATTATTGTGCATGTTCTCTAGCTGATGTTGAAACTTACTGTTTTTATCATTTTAAACTATGTTTTTTGTAAATACAAGAAAGACTTGGTCCACTTTGGGAATATCTGCATGCTGTGGAGGGGGAAGAAAGAGAGAAGAAGAAAAGGGATAGATAATAAGTAATTTGGTTTTTAAAATGTGATACAAAGCTTGATCGTCTTAGTTCTGCCAGTCATGCTAGTTAAATAAGTCAACCAGATGTACTTCATTTCAGGTCTCACTCAGATGCCCTGTTCAGTCTGATGGCTTTTTTAAGGTTGGATGGTGTAAATGTTTTGCTTTTCAATATGACAAGCATTTTAAAAACAAACAAACATTGTTTTAGCACCATGGTGCCACTGTCCTTGCAGTGTGATTTCATTGGTCATGAATTTCCAGGTCCTTCCAGTAAGAGGAAGAAGGTGCTTAACTGGTTAACCAGTGTTTATGTATATATTGTTCCCCTGCCCTCCAGAAAAACTCTGACAATGTGGAGAATGGGCTGGCCCAGAGGTACCCTTCCTCATCTTCCTCAGAAGACGCTGCAACTAATTTCCCACCAAATAAAGTGTGACCTTTCTCCCCCACTGCCTTTGTTCACGTCTAGATGTGTGCCCAGCAAATGAGACCAGGGACGCTCAGTAATGACAATATAAAGAAGCTAGTAACCAGATTGAGATGGACACGTTGCTGCTGCTAACATCTTGACCCGAGCAGTCCTAACTTGTGTCTGGTCTGTTGCATCGGGTTAGATTGACTAATAGTAAATAGAATCCACTGTCACAAGACACACTACACCTGCCATCAGGAGTCACTAGGGGATTCGCTCTCATCTCGAGCACACCCTTTTCCCAAGAGCTCTTCAAAGTTAGACAGATCTTACTTATTATTTTTTTTTTTAAATCACCTTCCCTTGAACTTGGAATGTCTTAGGGGGTCTTGCTTTTCCCTCTCATTCTTCGTTTTTAACAGGAGGGATCTAAATGAGTAAGGAGGGCGTGTAAAAGGCACATGCCAAAAAGACTGGAGGGATCACTGTTTTTCCATCAAAAAGTAAGTAAGATGAAGTAGAGGGTTGAGACCTGCTCTAGTTTGGGGTAGGTGGAAAAGAAAATAGTTACTGCACTGGAAATGTGTAAGCGGAAAGTCTGGTACAGCTGTACCTAGCAGTGGGTGACAATATTATAGATGCCATGGTCTGCAGCAGGTGAGTCACTGACCACATTTGGGGAAGGGAATGAGGACAGCAAGGACAGCTGTGTGGGCTAGGAAAATTCCTTAGGGTTCATGGGAGCCAACAAAGGCAACTGGGGGATTTGGGTTTACTTGTGAATTGTTTTGGGTTGGAAGTGATGCCAGAGTCCCTTGGGGAGTAAAAAGATTCAATCAGTCACCTAGGTTCTAAAATAGACTAGTGGTGAGACCTATTTCTCATCATAATGAGAGGAACAGTAGGTTTGAGTGGTGCCAGCGCGAATCTTCCCTCATCACTACTTTTTCTTGCCACTATAGCAACGCACAAAGCCGTGGTTTTAACACTAGTTGGCTGATGATCATTTGATCAAAACAGGAGCTCATTCACTGTCCTACCAGGAATATAAGTAGCCTCTGTTTTTGTTTTCCCTCAGAGCTAAACTATGCTTACTTATGTTACTGTTAGGACCATATTTTATCTGTCCCAGACTCACTTCAGCATTTCCTTGAAGTTGGAAAGTTGCTCACTGTAATGATAGTTGTCAAAGAGCATTATTCATGTAAATCCATCTGTAAAACTGACCCTCACTTTTGCCCCAATACATATCTTCCCTCAGGTTCTTTGATCATCTCGTTCTTCCCACATTTTGCACAAAATGCTTTTATACAGTCATTTTGCAATAACTGGATGTCAAATACTATCTTTTGGGCATTTGTTGAAAAATCCAAAT